CCATTTAACAGTATGATATCTAATATTGCCAGCATGTTTTTTTTTTGCATTAAGATAGGATGTTATGAGAGAAATAGAAAAATGAGAATTTCTTAAAATCTATACCGATGATTTTAATGAAATAAATAGCCAAATGATTGATAAATCGTGCTCTATATGCACAACTACCGTGCATTTGGGGCCGCTTTCGGAGAAATTAAATAATAAAGTTTAAAATATGGCTGCCATTTAACAGTATGATATCTAATATTACCAGCATGTTTTTTTTGCATTAACATGGGATGTAATGAAAAAAATGGAAAAAGCAATTTTTCCATAAACTTTGCTATTAAGTATGAGTTAATACTTCACATATAATTTGCTGTGACTTATTAATTTTATTAACTGTGAATGGAATGGAAAGGACCCATTTTTTTATGATTACATATAATTCAAATTGAATTGGTTCCCGCCCAATTCCGTACAAAATTGTTCAACACTGATGGCAGGCAGTTTTTCAGTTCATGTAGGATCTAGCAGTTCGATAGACTTTATGAATGAACTATATGAGGTTGGCTTACAATTAATTAATTTTCTCGAAATCTGTACCGTCTGTTTACTTAAAATTAGTGCCTCAAGTTTCTTAAAATATGTATCTACAAGAGGGTATAGCGCGGATTGAGGGCCATTGTCTCTGAGTTAAGAAATAAGGGCTCGAAAACAAGGTTGATATTTTGCGGTCATTTTATATGGCGCTGACTTGGGGTTGCTGCACTCTTTTCCAAATATCTTAAAAATGGTACCGACGATTTTAATCAAATTTTTACAGTTGGCTAGGTGAAACTATAGGCTTTAATCGTGTATATGCGGTTTTCGGGGCCATCATCCCTAAATTTAGATATTTATGGAATGGTGGAAACCTAATATTTCAACCTCTTGGTTTACCCATATTACAAATTAAAATTCAAAATCAAATGAAACAAGTCAGTAAATAATTTAATTTTTTACAATTCTGCATTTAAAATTATTAGGTTCTGTGCCTAAAAACATAAATAAATGCATTTAAAAGTGACCGATTCCTTTTCCGATACCAAGTACCAAAAATCGATGCTAAGTCACTGCCGCTAACTTGACGCATATCGAGGGTACCCTCGACGCTAACTCACCGCCGCTATTTTGACGCACATCGAGGGTACCCTTGTGGTCGCCTCGTTTCCATTTTTTTTTTTTTTTCGACAACAAGGGCCATTTGGTATGTCTATACATTATTAAAATGAGTATCGACAAGTTTGGACATTACTCCTCAGCTAAAAAGAGAGATTCTGTTGACAATAAACTTTATGTTCACAATATATTATACAAATCAAAAGAAGATTTGGAGCTTCTCATACATAATAAAGTTGATGAAGTAGATAAATCTATAAACGAATGTTTAAATAAAGTTAATATTGAAATTCCAAAACTGATAAGTGATATTAATTTATATAATAATTTGGAATTTTGGAAAACATGAAGAGAATAATATAAGTTTTGAGAAAATTCATACGGACGAAGGGACGGACGCACAGACAGACGGACATGGCTATTGATGCTGATCAAGAATATATATACTTTATGGAGTCGGAGATGCTTCCTTCTGCCTGTTACATACATTTGGATTTTGCACAAATACAATATACTCTTATACCCATTTTTAATGGGTTCAGGGTATAAAAAGTATCCTTGGCAGGGTTCGAACTCGCAACTAATCGTATTACGTGGTGACGACTCTACTCAGTAGACAAATCAGTAAACGCTTGGAAACGGAGTAAGCTATCGATTATCGGAAACAAACTCGATCTGCGCAGACACTAGGAGCACCAACATTTAAAATTTCAAGTCTCTAGCTCTTATAGGTTCTGAGATCCTTGCGTTCATACATGCGGACAGACGGACAGATGGACGGACGGACAGACGGACAGACAGACAGGAGGACATGGCTAGATCGACTCGGCTATTGGTGCTGATCAAGAATAAATATACTTTATGGAGTCGGAGATGTTTCCTTCTGCCTGTTACATACATTTGGCTTTTGCACAAATACAATAAACCCTTATACCCATTTTTTATGGGTATAACAAGCAAGAGGTAACAAGCAAGAGTTTCTAGTCGGGAGCACCCGACTAGGGAATACCCTGAACCCTCTTATTCCAACTCCAAAAGGCAGTTCGCGCAACGCGCTCGTATGAAGTAATTAAGGTAAATTAAAAAAAAAAGCAAGTAAGAGGTTCTGAACCCTCTTATTCCAACACCAAATAAATTAATAAAAAAAAGTTCCCTTGGCAGGGCTCGAACTCGCGACAGACCGCACCATTTGCTATGCCTCTACTCAGCAGCCACACCAACAATTAAGTACCTATGATAAAAAAGGAACTAAAATAACATTACAAAAAAAAGATGCAATTAAAATGCTATTAGAATGCGAAGCAGACGCGCATGAATGTGTGTGTGTACATGTATACAGAAATTCTTAAAGCTGCTGCCCCATTCAATTGCGCAGATGCATATAACTTTGGTTTTTCTTAACCGATCTTTAAGAAATTTTTTTCAGTATATCTTATTGTACCATAGAATATTTGTGTATTCTGAAAAAGTCAATTGCATTTAAATTGTGGTTCAAATTGGTTGGCAATAAAATTTGGGTTATTAACTTGATTTATAGCTCTGGGGTGGTAGCGGGGAGGTGGCGATAGGTATGAAATGAAAGATACTTGAAATATTTATAATATTCCAGAAGAAACATATCATGTTTGGTGGCTTATTTACCCAATTTGTTAAAAAAAAAAAACAGGATGTCGATATCGACTTTTATCGATTGCTTGGAATCGGAGTAAGTTATCGATTATCGGAAACAAACTCGATCTGCGCGGGAACTAGGAGCATCTACATCTAAAATTTCAGTCTCTAGCTTTTATAGGTTCTGATGTCCTTGCGTTCATACATACGGACGGACGGACAGACAGACGGACATGGCTAGATCTTCTCGACTATTGATGCTGATCAAGAATATATATACTTTATGGGGTCGGAGTAGCTTCCTTCTGCCTGTTACATACATTTGGATTTTGCACAAATACAATATAGCCTTATACCCATTTTTAATGGGTTCAGGGTATAAATAGTTCCCTTGGCAGAGCTCGAACTCGTAAGTAACCGTATTACTTAGTGATGACTCTACTCAACAGACAAACCAGCAAAAAAAAAAAAAAATAGTTTCCGAGGTAGGGCTCGAACTCACGACAGATCGCAACACTTGCTATGGCGCCACTTAACAGCCACACCAATAATTAAGTATTATCGAGAAAAAAAAAAACCAACTAAAATGCTGTTAGAATGCAAAGCAGACTCGCATGAATGTGTGTGTGTGCATGTATACACAAATTCTTGATGTTTTCGCTAACTGCCCCATCCAATTGAGCAGTTACGTATTACTTTGGTTTTCGCTTAACAGATCTTAATGAATTTTTCTACGGTATATCTTATTGTACCATACAATATTTGTGTATTCTCCAAAAGTCAATTGCATTAAAATTGTGGCTTAGATTGGTTGGCAATATAAGTTGAACTATTAACTTGATTTATAGCTCTGCGATGTAAGCGGGGAGGTGGCGATATGTATGAAATGAAAGATACTTGATTATAGCTCTTAATGACTCTAGCTCTTAATGTTTACCAAAATTGCTAAATAAAACAGGATGTCGAAATCGAATTTTATTGATTGCTTGGAGACGGAGTAAGTTATCGATTTTCGGAAACCAACTCGATCTTCTCAGGCACTAGGAGGACCTACAGCTTAGTCTCTTCTTAAAGTCTCTATCTCTTATAGGTTCTGATATCCTCGCGTTCATACATACGGACAGACGGACGGACGGACAGACAGACAGACATGGCTAGATCGACTCGGCTATTGATGCTGATCAAAAATATACATACTCTTAGGGGGTCGGAGATGCTTCCTTTTGCCTGTTACATACATTTGCATTTTGCACAAATACAATATACCCTTCTTACCCATTTTTAATGGGTTCAAGGTATAATTATTGAATATCTTTTTTTTGTTAAATAAAGTTAAATAATCGATAAAAAAATGCATTTAAACTTTTTTTGTTGCTCTTCTGCAAGCAAGTTGTTTTCGTTATCAAAGAATATTTTAGCCTCTGTACGAAGACATAATTGGTACACTGTATATTCTACGACAACGCTTCCATCCAAAGCGTTCTCAAGATCCCATACGACTGAGATATATATCTTAAATTTATTTTTTATGAAGAACTAAAGTGTTAATAGGAGGAACTAAGGTAAAATAGCGACAAATCTTTAAGACTTAACTTCACGAGCGCTTATCGCGCCTATATTCTAAAACGTATTCGACGTAAATTTGAGAAATTATAGTTTATGAAATTAGAAACTGCGTTAAATAGCTAGTGCATTGAATTGAATTAAAATATTAAGTCTATAGAAGCGCATATGCCCTGCTAATTCAAAATGATTAATCTATCGAGTATCCATGTCAATGTAAAATGTGGTAACCATTTTAGAGGGTCAATCAAGAGACAATGTAACAATGAAAGCATTGTACAGATGGGCTGGGTAAAGAAAGGAGACAAAATACATCTGCGTTTCCTGAACAGTCGAAGCATCTCTGAATGTTTTATTAAGTGTGTCGGCTCTAATTTAGACGTAACGCTATCATGTATTTAACCATTTGATTTTTTAATTAATTCCCCGTGCATCCATTAAATGTGTCAAAATACATCCGGTATATTGGTTGAGCTTAGCAGTAGTCTCCAGTCTAAGATCAGTGCATGTAGATTTCCGCAACGTGCCTTCCTGTCTGGATATAAGCAGTCTGGGAATAGAAACAAAAAGCAAATTCCCTAATCTGTTTTTGCAATTGAAACGGCACTTCTACAAGTGTCTGTCGCTTTATAGTTGAATCCTGTTGATATTGTTTAAGAATTATAACAAGCATATTCCCTCAGTGGTGCCAGTATTATTGAAAATTTGCACTATAAGCAAATTTATGATCGAAGAGAGTGCGAAAAGAACGTGCTGGAAAGTGTAAAGGCAAAGATGGAATTAATACGAGCTAGCAACAGAGAAAATTACAAAAGTAAGTGTGATTGCCAAAATATATTTACTAATATATTTATTTTTAGAGGCGAATGCAACTAGACAGCATTCGGAATTCGATTCAAGTGAGCATATAAGTTCGCAGGACGATAATATTAGCGTATCATCTCAAAACCCAATAAAAACTATAAAGTCAAAATCTATAAGCTTAACACACCCATCACCACCTAAAAGAAGAGACTTACGTCTTCACCCGCATGCTGTGCGTACAGGAGACTACTATATGTTTGAGGAATATAATGATATTGATGAACCTATTTTGTACGAAGAGCATGACTTTCTGGAAAAAGAGGACACACGTCAAATGCTTATTTATGTAAAATCGGAGTATTTTTAATAAAATCTAAGCGCAACTGTTTTTATTCACAGTCTAAAAAAAAATTTGATCACGGAACGTCCCACGGCAGTAGCGGTAATATAAACGACTATAGCTCGGATTCTGAAATTGACTTCGAAACGCATCCAATAATTAAACTAACTGCTGAACTTATTATGTTAGTGACGTTTCGGTTAAACCGGCTATCCCGTAACTATCGTTTTGTGCACAAGGTACTGTCGGCAGAGAAAAAGACGTTACAAGACATTAGTACAATGAACCGGCTTGGACTAGTCAATACTGCAGCGATGTTCAGCTTTTTAAATCAATCCCTTTACGAGTGAGTGTGCATTGACTTGGATACACATAAGTCTCATTCGATTTCGTTTCCTCTTAATCTTCACAATTGAATATTCTTTATCTGTATGATAACTACTGAAACAGTACCAGTGTTGTACATTTGTTGACTTAGCGCTGCCGCAAATAGCTTAACTTAAAAATCCACTTATTTCTGCCTGAATTTTTCTTTAATATAGCAAACAGTTGGATGCTATTAATCCTCCCCCAAAAGAGTCGACGCCTGATTTGATATCAAAGAGCGAGGATTTTACGACACTCAATCATAATAATTTTGTACAAATGTTAATTTCTTTGTGGTATGCAATTATTGCCAATACGGAAGTGGTCAGCTATTTGGCAGTATTCGTCAACCAGGCTGCAAACTCTTCAATAATTTCGTTGCCAATGCCTTTTCTGGTCCTTTACTGGGGTGCCCTTACATTACCGCGTCCAACAAAGAATTTCTGGGTAACGCTTATCACATACACGTTGGCAATGATTTTTTTAAAGTGCATAATGCATCAAAAAATCGTTCTTGACCCTAAGCTTATAAAACTGGCCAAGACAACAGATTTTGAGCTTTTTACAAAGCATGGCAAAGCGGTATATGATCTTTTGCTCTTGGTTGTACTATTCTGGCACCGTTATATGCTGAAAAAACAAGGAATTTGGAATATACCAAGGTCGGAAACGGACCCGGTACAACTTAACCAAACCAGTAAGTCTCTTGTGAAATTTATATTTAGTTCTAGTACATATATTAACACAAAATCTTAAGATAGCAAAACTTTTAGCAAGGAACGACCAACAGATATTTTAAAGCGACTCAGGTATGTTTATTTAACCTTTTACCTTAATACCTGATTAAATTGTAGCTATTTAAGGGAAGAGTCAGGAAGTGAGCCTAAGGAAACTACTGTCAATCGCTCTAATACAAGTGAATTGGAACGGGATATTGATGACTTATTACGACCAGGAATGGAAAATAAATATGTTTATCATAACATCGAATCAGAGAACTATCGCGTTGCCATGAAAAATTTAGAGTAAGCAAAACAAAAAAAAACTTTAACTTCGGGGTTCCGAACAAAAAAAATTACAGCCACATTATACAACATTATTAATCCCTAATTATTTATATACACTCTTTCCTTTTTATACCCCGAACCCATTAAAAATGGGTATAAGGGTATATTGTATTTGTGCGAAAGCCAAATGTGTGTAACAGGCAGAAGGAAGCATCTCCGACCCCATAAAGTATATTTATTCTTGATCAGCATAAATAGCCTAGTCGATCTAGCCATGTCCGTCTGTCTGTCCGTCCGTCCGTCCGTCCGGACGGACAGATACTGATCAAGAATATATATACTTTATGGGGTCGAAGATGCTTCCTTCTGCCTGTTACACACATTTACATTTTGCACAAATGCAAAATACCCGTTTTACCCATTTTTAATCGGTTCAGGGTATAAGATTGCGATTATATTGATGATGGGCTGTGCGAATATGCTGTTATTTTAATTCAGTTTTGATTGCATAATAAGTCAATTCTAGGATTGGCTGTAAGGTATATTGCGATGGCAAGTAGTTCGGACAGCTGAAGGTTGTTGCGAGCTCAACCTCAGCGGAGGGAAAAAACTCTTTTTTCGTCAAATTTATTTTTATTATGTAAAATAAAAATTGTAATTGTAAGCAAGCGCGCAGCGCTAAATGCATTGGGTGGTGTTAGAAATAGGTTCAGAATATCCCTGACTAGACCTTATTTATTTAAAGATGACTTTATATATATTACATATGTTATAACACTTTTAAGAAGAATGTTACCTTCAAAGTCTATAAGTTCATTCAGCTATTTATTTGTATAACTTCATGAGAGACTCTTTGCAACCAATGATATAACATGGTTTTTCATTCGGAATAGGTTTATCTCCACAAATATATCTATTAAGCTTATCGTTAGATTTCGATAATTTCGTTAACATTTTATTAAACTGAAAATTAAAACAAATAATATAACATCCAACCCACAGACATAAAGGTGGTCCTTCGTCTGCAATAAATAAATTTTTTCTTGCTCTACTTCACAAGGCACGTTTATCTACCGATGTATATACGTTACTGTTCTTATGTGATTTCATAAATTTCTTTGTCTTGTTATTTGGATTCCCAAAGTTTGTGGTAAGTTGTACAATTGTTTCTCTTGTAAGTCTTACTATTTTTAATTATATATGAATCTTTTGTAATGCCCCCTCCAGGAATATTAATAATATAAATTCTTATTGCTACTTGTACAACATAAAATCCAATTCATTAACAGACTTGTTATATGCTACCACTAACCAAGCAACATATAAACTGGACAACCCGTGGAAGACACTGGGGCCTCTCGTTTTATATGCGGCTGGTCCAAAGTCGCCTTCGTTATTGTTCGGGTTCGACATACGCTCGCACGCTCAGACAGCAAGAGAGTAAGAAATACATATGACTTGAGTGATAGAACGGCATTGCTGCTTTTTTTTTCGCTCACACTACAGGAAAATGCTTCGGCTTACTCTCAGAGCTCTTTCAATTTTTTTATTTACCGTTGTACTGTCTGTGTGTGTACCTGTAAATTTTTATCAAAAGTCAGTGGCTTTCTTTCCTTTTGAAAGGACGAGTAATATGAAATAATGAAAGGGTTTGCCACGTCGTTGCGAAATTCTAGCATTTTAGCTCGTTATCGTTGGAAAGGGTACCTAAACGGTGTCATGTGTGCATTTAAAATATTTTGGGCTCGCTTTTCACGTATACTTGCATATTTTGTATATGAATAGAAGAGTTTTGACGCTTGTGTGCATGTTGGTTGAATGCCTGCCTGTCCCTTGCAAATTTGATAAGACGAAGTTTTTGTGATTTTTGTATTTCGGGAGCTAAACACACACACAAATGTGTGTGGGGCAAATCATGGGCGCAAAAGAAATAGCATTATTGGCGCGTGCTACCAGTATCGTCAATGCGATAAGGTGGTACATGTATATATGTATATTGATTTGATGTAGAATAAAATAAGAATTTAATAATCACTGCAACGTTTTCTTTGAATGTTCCAAACTGAACTGAATATCTATTTATTCTTCGAGCTTCATTAAAGCTAAATGTATACAATGGTTTTCTTAAAAGCTAGCTACATGTATCTCACAAATTGCCGTTGCAGCAGTTCAAGTGTCTTGCAGGAGAACTGTCGCAACCAACATCCTGTTATAGTGCTGGATCAGCATTGCAACATAGTGTCACAATGGTCTGCTGCTGCCGCCGTTTCTCGGCGGCTTGGCGGGTGGGACCGAATCATATATACCCTGTATGGTATAGTCGGTAACTACTCCCCCCTGGAATGGAGTGACGGCCACATCGATGGAATGGCCGTGAAGATGATGTTTCTTCTTTTGAGTGTCCAGATGCATACAGTAGATATTGTCAGTATGGTTAGCAGTATATAAAGTGTGAAAAGGTGGTTGGTGGCTGTCGTCGTTATGACAATTAGGTCGTTTCGGCTTGATAATGTCTGTAGATGGAGTTTTTCCATATTTAAATTTTCGAATGTGTTGTGTATGTTCATTTGCTTGAACGATTCTATGGAACTTTCTGTCCTTTGTTCAAACTTTATTACAGTATCATCGTATGGTAAGCCGTTGATATGACCGTACAATTGTCAAATGTTACAATAGCTGACCCGTTTATTATGAAGGGTCTGTGACATGAAGACGTGACATTGTTGTTTATAGTGTTAAAGACGAAGATATGTCAACGTTCCACTTCTCTGATGACCTCTTGACGGCCGATATCCTTGATGTCGCAGTTTGCCGTTTGGTCAAAGAGAATGCCCTTAAGGCAGTGGATATTGACTAAATTCGTTTGTGTAGATGCGTTTTCACATATAAATGTCTGATGGATTTTGGGACATTTGCTTTCAAGGTACAAGATTTGACCGTTGTGGGCGTACAAGATGTACTTTGGTACTATCAGGACTTTAGTGTGGTCTAACGGTAGGATTTTTACATGGAATGCTATATTAAAGTTATTTATGTAAGTTTCTAATGTTAACAATCATATAGGTGTTCATCGGATCCTACTAAGACATTTTGGCTTGAAATGAATTCGTTTATAAATTATATTATATTCAATTTGGTTAGCTGAATAATTTATGCTATATTATCTATGTGGTTGTATAATACATCTATATTAAAATTTATTCTTGTTATATACTGAAGTAGGTGAATTTCATTATGGTCTACGTTTACTGTTTTGTAAATGTTATTTTTATAATTTTTAATGAAATTATTAATTATACCCTGTTCTTGGTTAATATGATCGGTAATGTTTTGATATCTTAAAATAGTTAATTGATTAAATATTATTTGTTTGTTGACATTTTCAGAATTTTGGTTTCTTTTTCTTTAATAACATTGAATTTATCGGCAATAGATTGGGCGTCTTTTGTGTCCATATTTCCTGTTACTACTTTTATTACACTACCAAGATCATTTATCAGACCTCTCTTTTCCCTTTTTTTGGGTAGTAATGCGTTTATTTTGATTTTTAGCTGGTCTATTTTTGCTTTTAGACTGTATAATTTCTCCTGAAAACTTTACTTGTCTTAGGTCATTTAGTGCTATTTCGAATTTTTCTGTGTTTTCTGTGTAAAAGGTGTTTATATGATGTTATAACTCTTGCGTTCCCCAAGTTTATTTTTGTGAGTCTGTCATGCTCCTCCAGCTGTTGTACTTTAATAATCTGTGCTGTCCCACAGCAGAATCTGTAAAATATGACTGTTATTACTATTTTGTCCTTTTTTATACCCTGAACCCATTAAAAATGGGTATAAGGGCTTATTGTATTTGTGAAGTTTCAAATGCTTTAGTGTATTCCTCACTTATTTTTACTGTGGCTTTGCTTTTAAATTGTTTAGTTATTGCTGCGAAATCTTTTGTGAACTTTCTATAGTAACCGAGCAGTCCTAGGATTTGATTTGTCCACTGGTTTTTAGCATGGGGAATGCTTTAATGGCAATTAGCTTGCTGGGGTTAGGTTTTATACCGAAATCGGTTACTACGTGTTCTAGGTATTCGATTTGCTTTCTGGTTGAAGCTTTAAATTTGCTCTATTTAACCTGTCGAATACTAACTTTTGGTCATTGACGTGTTCTTGGAGTGAAGATGAAAAGACTATAGTGTCGTCAAGATAGATTAAACAACAATTGCCGTTGTCCATCACCTTTTGGAAGGTGGCTGGGGCGTTGGAAAGCCCGAATGCCATTCGTACAAATTTAAAATGTCTTCCTATTGCCGAAAGGCTGTTTTGCTAATATCCCGTGAATCCATCTCAACTATGTGGTATCCACTAGCTAGATCTAAAGCCGTAAAATATTTGGCTCTACCTATCCTGTCAAGAACTTATCTTTCACGGTTTTTTCGTTTAGTTTTCTATAGACTATCACTAGTCTCCATTTCTTATTATTTGAAGAGTCGGGTTTCTTTGAAACTGGGAAAATTGCTGCGCTCCATGGGGAATGACTGTGTCTGATTATGTTTTTTTCTAACAGTTTTGAGATTTGTCTCTAAATTTCTTGTCTTTCTACAAGGCTGTATCGGAATGGTTTTGTATGCAATGGAATTACGTCTGTAGACCGTATTCTATGTTTGACTAAGTTAGTGAAGGTGATGCTGTCTCCCTCCCGATGAAAAAGTTTAGGGAATTTTTTGCAATGGTCTTTTAGCGCTGTAAACTCTTCAGCGTTTAGATGGTCTGTCCGCAGTTGGGTAAGTATGTTGATACCGTCCTTTGGTTTATTATTATTAGTTTCGGACATGGCATTTATTTCAATGTAACCGTTCTCGATGTATTTATTGACTTGTAATTCTGAGTCGAGGCATAATTTCCGTTTGTCTTGTGAGTAATTCATTGCTTCCATAAGACTAAAATTGTTTTTGGCTTGATACAGTCCTCCAGATATGAGGTCATCTTCGGAAATCTTTGTGGTTTCGCACCAAAATGCGCCGTTAGCGATGCTGACGGGTAGTTTTACTATGTCCTTGGACAAATCGTCCAAAATATGAAGTTCTGAAGTTGTATTGTTTTCTATGTGCATCTTAATTTTGAAACGTTGAGTCTCTAGTGTTAATTTGGAGATATTGACTACCGCTTTTACCTGTTGTAAAATATCGAGTCCAATTAATCCGTCGAAGTATGGGTGGAATTGAAATAAGATTAGTTATACCCTGAACCCATTAAAAATGGGTATATTGTATTTGTGCAAAATGAAAATGTATGTAACAGGCAGAAGCAAGCTTCTTCGACCCCATAAAGTACATATATTCTTGATCAGCATCAATAGCCGAGTTGGTCTAGCCATGTCCTTCTGTCTGTCCGTCCGTCTGTCCGTCCGTATGTATGAACGCAAGGATCTCAGAACCTATAAGAGCTAGATGTAGATGCTCCCAGTTCCCGCGCAGATCGAGTTTGTTTCCAATAATCGATAACTTACTCCGTTTCCAAGCAATCGATAAAAATCGATATCGATATTCTGTTTTTTGGGCAATTTTGGTAAATAAGAGCTAGAGTCACCAAACTTGACATATAGCTTCTAAAATGGAATTTATGTATTCATTTGATGTTTGAAGAAGGGTATCCCCTAGTCGGGAGCTCCCGACTAGAACCTCTTACTTGTTTTTCTTATGTATTTTGTAACAATATTTATAAGTTCTGTTTCGGCTGTTGTACAATATGAAATAGCATCGTTTGTATTGTAGTGTGTATGCCTTTAAAGAACACCCTATATACAAACACAAAGTATGCGGCACTTTGTCGCATACAATAACAATTATACATTAAACAAGCCCAGAGTAACTTTATATATTGGCTCCAGCTCATGTTACGCAGCGCAGTTCACTAGCCTCTCTAGCTGGCCGTTTATGCTTACGCTGCACTTCCCACGCTCCCTCTGAGCGCATTCAATGAGCAACATGTTTGCTCACTAACACAGGCATATGCAAGCTACTCACTCTCCCTCTCTTTGTAGCTGTTAACCAATAACAGCATAAGTATATACATGTGTCCATATGCTAACCGCAATATTTTACTTTAAATAAAATCATTCTAAAAACCCAAGCCAACCAGCACTAACGTGCTTTTGTAAAATTATT